CTCTCCCTCTGCACAAGGCACACAGTCGAAACAGCAGAGGGGCTCCCCTTTCCTGGTTGCCTTCCTGGTGCCAGGCTGACAGCTTTCACTGCACACAGACCTGGGAGGCTGGGAAAGGAAGCATTATGTGTTCAAGTCAAAGTAAGAACAAGAAGCAAAGATTACAGGCTCTTAACATAATTACAACGACAAACATAACATTTTACTGTAAGTCGTTCTGCATTTCAGAGTAATATGCAGTCTTCCATTATTTAATGAAATAATATGCAGCTTTCACTGTACACAAACTTGATAGGCTAATTAAAGACAATAAATAAAATATTGTAGGAAAATAACATGATTCATTGAAACTAAAAATTATTAGAAATAAAATGTATGTCATGTACCGTACAACTTACTCTCTTGGATTCCATGTTCCAGAAGATTTTGTCTTCATTCAGAGTGAGCTGTTGTCCAGCAGGAGCTGATTCATCAAACAGACCGATTGTTACTGTTTTCACAGCCCCGTCATCGGCCCTCTGCCAGTTCATCACATCATAGATTGCAAGAGCATCTCCGTTCTCATCGAAGGACACCCTGTCTCCATAGTGAGTAGTGAAGTTCACTCTCGCCAGGTAGTGTAGCATCTTAAAAGAAGAAAATAATTCTTCTCAATGTATACATGAAAACAGAAGTACTACTTTCCAATTTAATTTACAAAAATAGGAAGAGAACTTTACAATATGCACACTAAAAACATTTGATGATAACAGATGCAAGTAACCAAATGTTTTATGTTCTCTTGAAGGGAATGATGTTGAAGATGAGCACATTATTAAATGAGGGAAAGCAACAGCATTGCAGATGTTTTAATGAGGGAAGATAAGGTGAATGTCCTTTAGAGGAAAAAGTTTAAGAGAAAGGAGAAAGTTTTAATAAATTTAGAACCCTACCGTTGATGGTAAAAAACTATTATCTGAAAAATCACAGTATATACAATAAGAAAAGACTGCATGATGCTTACTCAGTCTCACCTGCCAGGGCTGCACAGTTGTGATGTCTGCACAGGAGTTATTTTGAAAGGGCCCTTTTCCAGGCTCACAGGACATCAGGTTGTGCAGGGAGTGTGCCAAGGCGTACACTGCTTTATACACGTTGTAGGAAGCCCGCAGTTCTGACACATCACTGTAAGCAGTTTTGCTTTTTTCAATGTTTTCTGATCCTGTGCAGATGTTACTGCTTTGCACCTCTGTGTAACTGTCATTTGATTTTACTTGAAATTTGCAATCAAACGTTTTTTCCCAGAATTCATTAATTAAAATATTATTGGAGTCATCAACAGGATTAAGTTTTAGGAGAAATTGTTTAAGCCCTGGAATTTCTCCCTTGCGAATCGCAATTCCTATTGTTCCTCCAAATGAGAGGAAGTTTCCCTCTCTGAGCAATAAAGTTGAGGTAGTCCAGGCTTCACTTGCAATCCACTGCCTGTCAGTGATGTTCTGGAGAACAATCTCTTCAGCAACAGGAATAAAATATGCTTCTGATGAAAAGACAACAATAACTCTTGCTGTTGATTGGATTATGGTGTTGATGATCTGATGTATTCTCATTCTCGGATTGACACTGGGGAGAGTTTCTGAGAAAGCTATACAGCCAAACTTGTTTACCTCCTCAATAAAGCTCTTGACAGCACTCTGACCATAGTCATCACTGCTTGCTATGACACCAACCCAGGTCCATCCATAATGCCTGAGGATTTGAACCATGGCTTTGACTTGAAAGGCATCACTTGGAATTGTCCTGAAGAATGAAGGGAACTCTTTTCTGTTGCTCAGGCAAGAGCAAGTAGCATAATAGCTGACCTGTGAAGGATAATAAAAGATCGGATCATTAACAATTAAATGTTTGACAAAAAACACTTATAAGCATTAATCGTTTTCCTGTAGATTAAATTGTCCGTACCACAGGCATACGGAAGAGGCCCAGCATTCTTGATATGGCAATAGAATGTGTAGAACCAGGGTCCCCAACAATGGCTAAGACAGGGGGAGTCCCTGTACAGCTGTAGTCAGTGACAGAATCATCCTCTCCGCTGATCAGAGCTGTTGCTGCTCTCAGAGCCACTGCCAGGTTCACGCAATTTTCATACAGCCTGTATCCCAGTGTGATGTTAGGGAGAAGAGCAGGGTTTCTGTTTATTTCCTCAATAGCAAAAGCCATGGTCTGTGCCCACTGAAATGATGCAAAATCAAAGCTGACAGAAGACATAGGTATCAGTGAATTTAAATTTTAGACCACCTTGAATTAAAGAAAATATAGCAACAATGATGTTTATTCAATATTATATATTATTACATTTGAACTGCAGCTTGTTCTAATATTATACATAGAAAAGGTTATATTTTCAATTGTCTCAAGCCATTTCTTTCAAATGTGACATACAGTATAAATTCCAAATTTAATTTTTATGCTATGCCTTATACTGTACAGTGTCAACCTACCTCTCACATCTCAGCTGTTTTGGCTTAGAGCTGAAAGACAAGTCAGGATATATTGCTTTAAAATGTATTTCAAATATTCCACCAAATGCAATGTCTCCATTTTTGTATAGCCCATTCAAGTCAAATGTTTCTTGATGTTTGCAAACTGGCTTTTCAATACCACATAGCGGAAGAGCCAAAGTCTGCAATGAAACAGTGAACAGAATTAATTTCATTGCTACAGATCGAGCAGCAGAATGACTCCTTGAGAAAGGTATTGCAGCTTTATAGACAGTGAAACTCTTTGGAGACCGCCTTGTAAAGAAACGTTTAAAATAGATTTATCTCAGAGAAGTCCCATACAGTAGCTTAACTACTGTAAATATTCTAATGCCATTAAAATGTCTAGACAAGACATTCCAAAAAATTAATGTTGGAATTTTTGTGTAAGCTGGAACTTGTTGGTACTTCATGCATTTATAGCCAATACAAATGCAGTGTAATCTCAAGGTTATTATATGAACATGACACAGGAAAACTCTATTGCTTGAGGCATTTAACTATCACAAGGAATATTTATATGAATTAACAATCTGAAGAGAAGGCTCCAAATATTAATCATCATGTCTTTTTCAAGAATATTGGAGTTATTATTACCTCTTTTAGTTATTATGGTAATTGATGCAACGCCCTCAATACTTACGATAAAATATTGCATTTCTTTCAGTGAAATGAACTGTAGAACATTTTAGCTCAGGTTGGGCTGTCAGTTTCATTTTTTGATTTTACTCTTTTATATTTAAATAGTATTCTGATCTATTGTATACATCCTTTTTAGTAATAAAATAAATTGATTGGGAAATCTTTATTGCCTCTTTATTGGGGTAGAATGTTTTACAGAAGCCCATTGTAACTGCCGGAATAAACTTTAAATGAAAAAAATGTTTTCCAAAATTGCATTGACTCTAAAGTTATTTGCATCCTCATATTTTCATGTTAACGTTTACTACAGTATGCAATGGAATAAAAAGTCCCCTTTATTTTATGCATTTTATGTTAAAGAAATATTGTACATGTGTATGCCCTTTTAACCATAGCAAAACTACCCTCAATTGAAATTGGACTGAGACTTAAGTACAGTATATCCACCTCCAGCTTCCCTGGTGTCTGACTAGAGATGTCAAACTGAATTGAGAGCTGCTGTGTGGACGCAGTGAGGTGCTTTGGGAGACGATGCGGGTTAGTGGATGTCGTCTCTGGGTTCCTGGGTACAAATTCCAGGTGGGTCATATTGCTCTTTACTATCAAGCAAAATAGTTAATACATAAAATCACCTAAAGTTACCTCAGCTGTATAAACTAGTACCAAATTGTGGCATTAGGAAGACGATAACTGTAAACTCTCTACATTGCTTCTGATAAAAATATCACAATAACGAACGTGTCACAATAATAAGCCTGTTCTGAGCTCAAGAGAGCACAGTTCCCAGGAGCTTCAGCGATTCAGGCCCAGCTGTTAGTTACTGTGACAGGTGAGAAAGAACAAGGAAAAAAATTGTGTTGCTGCTCACTGACGCTTTTATGCAGCTTTGCAGAGGGAAGTGTTTGTTGGCTGTTTTAAAATATGGTTCAGGCAAATTATGTATTGGAGAGATAATGTATCTCTGATGGAATTTACCGTATTATTTTGCTTTTCAGATTATCCTGTACTTGATGGAATTGTCAAGTTTAACAATGTAACTCCCTCATGCAGGGTGGCAGTCTGTCGTTCAGTGATTTTACTCCTGGGCTTTCAAAACTCGATCAACAACCACCAGGTGTCCTGTTTTTAACCACCAGAATACGACAGCAGGGCTGTAATAAATTGAAGATTTAATTCTCTATTTTGCAGGGTATTCACCAACTGCCAGCATGCACAACACAAGTGTAATTTAACAGTTAAATCTCTCTGCACAACTGTTCAGAATAAAAACAGTGATATTATTGTGATTTAGTGCCATTGTGAGTAAGCAGCTAATAAGTAAAAATCCTTTTTGCAAGTACTGTACTACAGCTTTATGCCTTTTAAAACTGAAATATTATTTATATTTCACAAATATAAATAGGTAGGACTACTTTAAGACATAAAGTAAACTTTTTCTTGGTTTGTACTTTGGAAACCAACTTAGGAAACTACATTTCAAAGTTAAATACAATCCATTGAATTTGTAAAAGACAGTGAATCAGTGTAACTGTTCTGTTGGTTTGTTGTTTTCTTCTTTTATTAAAGTGAAATTGAAAAACAAACATTCACCCATAAATATCAAGTTCTCAACTCCAAATTTAATCTTAAATAAAAGTACAAATTATTTAATTTTTAAGTCCAAAAACAGCAGAGTGAAGAAAGTATATATCAATTTTCTCAACAAAACTTTACTTGGAAATTTATTGATGCAGAGGAAATTTTGTAGAGAAAGTAACAGAAATCAAAATTATGTATTTATTACTTCAGGCCTGCTCTGCCCATAAGGGCTTTCTTGGTATTTTTCTCTGGATGAAGCAGAATGATGTAACATTT